ACTAGCTCACTTGACACATTGAACTTCATGAAGTTAAATTCAACATCCTTATATTTAGCTTTTAATGCATCAAGTTCAACAGTTAATTTGGCAATTTCCTCTTTATCATAATGATGATGAACACATTTTGTGCTATATTCCTCCTTAATCCAAATTAAATCTTTATTTGAGCTTCTAGTTTTTCTTTAAGTGGTTTATTTACCTTTTTAATTTCATAGATTTTGATTTTTAAGGTCAAAAACTTCTCTAACTAATAACTCATTATGATCACGGTATTTGTTTATTTTATCTTCACAGGACTGAGAGCATGGGGTTTCACTTACCTTCTTGGTATTGTTGGAGGGACTCATTATTTACCAATATAAGGAATCTGATTATATAAATGGATTTTAACCAGAAACCAAGAAAATAAATGCCCTTTGACCGAAAACACCAATAGTCAACACCTTGTTGACTGAGAACCTTAGCTAAAATCATTCAACCGAAAATCTAAACCGAGGATGCGGAGCCGAGAACACAGATTCACAGTCGAGAGCTCCGAGGCTGAGACCAAGAGCTCCGAAGCCAAGACCGAGAACTTTGAAGTTGAGTCTGAGGAGCTTCCCTAACTGAAATCTATCAGCTGGCCACCGAGAACTCGAGCTTGCCGCTGAGAACTCCTAGGTTTTAACCGAAGACACCTAAAAATGCCAAAAACACGAAATTGGTAATTAATTAAGACCAATTTCGATCAAAATCTCTACTATAGTGAAGAACACGAAGAACAACGACAATAATTTCGTCAAAAAGAACTTAAAAACATCAAGAAAAACTCTAAGAAACGGTTAATATTTGGTTAATTCGATTGATACCAATCCTTGCTCTGATACCAATTGTAAAACCCGATATGGTGTATCAAACAAACTCAGTAAGATTAGTGTGGAATCCTAATCTAATGATTAATGAAAAACAGTTATAATGAATTAGGAACACAATATTGAATCTTCAATGCACACTATATTGATTAATAGTCAGGTACATAAGACTCTCAATAACTCTCAGTTCTCTCTATCTCTCTAAACTTGATATCAGCTTGATAAGAACGACCAACCCTTTTACACGGCCGAAATAATACTCTATATACCTAGACCTAAATACAAAGGCCCAACCCAAAACCCAACCGAAAACATCGTTAAGCCCACTGAAATCACATGGTGATTTTGGTCCAAACACCACCGAAATCCTGGTGGTTTCTGTCCTAGAACGAGAACTCTAAAGGCTACATAAAGTAAAGTATAAACCACAAATCATGTCCCAACAGAAACTATCATCCAACAGCTAGAGTTTTATCCATGGGACTTCAACAGTGTGAGGCAAGTCTCCTCACCATACCAATGGGTCGAAGGCACCAAGGCCAGCCCAGGATTATGATATGTAGTATGCTAGTTGTCTTTGTGACTCTTGCGTATAGTGGGTATTTTTGAATGTGCTATCAATGTGTTATGTATTTATGTGAAGACCATATGGGGGTTCCCATGGCTGTTAGTTACTTAGCTATGGTGTTTATTGTGAATGTGCTATCAATATGTTATGTATTTATGTGAAGACCATGTGGGGATTCCCATGGCTATGGGTTAAGACCATGTGGGGGTTCCCATGGCACCCGGAGTAAGACCTTGGAGGGTTTCCATGGAATCCTTATATGTTTGTATGTATGGCTTATATGGCTTGTATGCCATTTCTTTTGATTAGTTAAGACCATGTGGGGTTCTCATAACAGTTAGTTAAGCCCACGTGGGGATTTCCATGGCAGGTAGTTAAGACCATGTGGAGGTTCCCATGGCAGTGGGCTAAGACCATGTGATGGTTCCCATAGCACCCGACATAAGACCTTCGAGGGTTTCCATGGCATCCTTATATGTTGTATGCATGGCTTATGTGGTGCATATGGTTTATGTGATTATATGGATTTGATGGGGTATGTTATGGGGAACTCACTAAGCTTCGTGCTTATAGTTTTGTTTACGTTTCAGGTATCACTAGTTTGTAAAGGAAGGGCACGATTTGATCGCAGCGCACACACCCATTTTTTTTGTCATATGTGGTTTTGGGATGAACTTTGAATAATGTTTTTAATTAGCAATGTTTTTGGAATGTTTGAATTCAAATGGCATCTGTGTTTTGACTATAATAAAAATGAAATTTTTACCCTTGATTTTTGGGGTGTTACAGTTTTAATGGTGTGTCTGTCGTTCCAGTCGATTTTCGGCGATGGTCCACTGGTGGTCCGACGGTGGTCCCCTAGTGGTCTGATGGTGGACTTGGTGGTGCAGGTTCATAGTGATTGAAACATGATACTAAAGAGGTGTTTAGTATAACGTGAAATAATGTAGAATAAATAGTAATTTCTTTTAATTAGTGGTCCATATTCGTTCTCAAATGTTCTCATTTGAACAAATATATATATATATATATATATATATATATATATATGTATGTATGTATGTATGTATGTATATTCTACAACATAGGTAAAAAAAGTGGGGGGGGGGGGGGGGACTCACCTTGCATAGATGACTAATAGAACTCACACCCGAACTGTCGGAACTACACTCTGCCAAATAATTACAGCAATTAACCCTAATTAGTAATTAAGGTATTTTTCCATACTCCACTAGTTCCAAGCTAGTCTAATCCAAATCTAGGGCAAAAGACCATTTTGCCCCTTCCAAGACCAGAACACTTGCGAGTTCCCTTAAAGGCACAATTAGCCAAAACACAAAGAATGTCAACACTTGGCCTTACGTGCGGCGTATACAACTTCTACATTGGGTGTAGAGCACACAGCTGGAAGGAATCGAGCTCGCAACTGGCTACGATGGGCGTAGCTAGAATTAAGCTTGGCGTACGCGATTTTAACTCAATGTCCAAGTTTTAAGGTCTTAATCATTAAGACACTTTAACCTAACCTCATATCTGACCCTAAAAAATGTCGTAATCCATAAAGTCTCTGATTTTATGCCTTCGCATGGCTAAAGAGAGCTTAATCCTAAAACCCTAACTTCTAACATCACCAAAAACTCCATAACTCATGCATAAATGAAAGGAAATGATCAATCTTGCATTTTTATGAGACTATGCACCCTTAAAAGTCCGAAAAGACAACTTATATGCTATGGAGTATTCCATACTAAAAAAGATCAAGGGTTTGGGAAAAAAAGAACATAAATCTAAGCTTAAACAAGATCTAGCAAAACAAGCTCTAAATTATGAACTTTATACCTTCAATAGATGAACAAGGAGATGTAGATTCCGGATCCAAAAGATTGAATGCACCACCACTTCTTGAATGATCTTCCTTCACTATCAAGAACACTAAAAATCATTAACAAGCTTCATATCTCACTCACAAAGGCTAGGGTTTCGATTTTAGGGTTTAGAGCAATGGATGTTGGTCATAAGAATATCTAATGAAGGACAAGATGCTTAAATAAGGGATACAACCCTAAAAATTTAGGGTTTAAGGACATCACGAGTACGTCCGACGTACTCACTTGTACGCCCGATGGACTCACGTGTACGCCCGGTGTAAGGACTAGATTTGCAAAATAATTTCATTTTCTGGTTAATAGTGGAAATACCTAGAAACGGGTGTTACACATCTTATATAGACAAGCCTAGTAGCAATTAAACATGTAAGTCACGAAGAATGTGGGAGGTTATGAATTATGTATTAAAGATTTAGGGAACTGATGAAGGTTGTCCATCCTTCACTACTTGACGTAAGTAACCGATATTGAAAAACTAGGGTACAAAAAGGAACCAATTTCTCTTAACCGCGAGGAATTGCCGTTGTTTTTCAATCTAAATTCGTGAACCGAGTTTAATGAATTAAATGTTTGTACAATCATGTATTGGACGAAAACTAACCGTTTTTTGATCAATATATATATATATATATATATATATATATATATATATATATATATATTGATTGGTTGAAAAATCAACATATTGATTAAAATAAGTCTCTACCCCTAAGAGTTGCACCCTTAAGAGCGCCCATATCGTTTGATTAAAAAATTGATATATCACACTTGCAAGTCTTTCGGATGTTGAAAGAAACGTCCAAGTGGAATTAAATTTTTGCTAATTGGCATTGCAAAGAAATCTTGAAAGACCTGATGTGGAAGGTCTGAATGCATGAACATGAACAAGGTAATTTCTTAAACAAACCAACATGAACAAGGAAATTCGTTCACTTAGGCGTTCATGTTCGTTCAGTTGTTCGATTAAACTTAAACAAATGAACACGAACAAGTCTTGTTTGTGTTCGTTCGGTTTGTTTACCGCCTAAATGGTTTAAATCGAGGTAAGATCTAGAAAAATCGTATCTGCACCCCACCTGTGTCCCATTATAATTGAGCGAGTGGACAGAAAATGATTTAAACATTCAAAGATTAAAACAGACTGGGAAAATACAATAAGAATTCATACTCGAACTAAGTAGATCCATGTGTTTGATCTTCCACCTATTAAAAAAGTTGAAGTTGTGATTTCTTGTATTAAAGTTGTAGAGATCTAAAAAATAGTAAGAAAGCGGGTGTCAATTAACTTTTGACACAACATTTAAATGGTTATTTAACCACTAAAATTTAAATGGTTATTTAACCACTAAAAGATGCTGAAATGAAAATCATGGTTTAGTCATAGGATGATTCCTTTTACAAAGGCTGATATTTCATATACTTAGAGTAACAATATATGCTTGCTTAGCAGGGCCAAAGACATTAGACTTGTGCCTTGATGTAAACTCAAACATTATTGATGACTCCCCTTTGATATCTATATTTCATCTAAGAATTACATTGAAATATATACAAATTAAACACGAAACAAAGGAAGATTACAGTTTTTGATAAAATGGGAACACCTTAATTTAAAACAATTAATAAAGATAATTACTCTAAATCGACAGCCTTAGGTGGTTTATTTCTTGAACTATTTGCATTCCGAAGGCTCTATGTAGCTTGTCTTCCTATCTTCCTCCTGGAAACTCTCACCATGACTCCATTGAATATCTTGTCCATAGTTTCCTCAGCAAACCTGAAAATCTTCCATCTCCACTGCTTCTTCAACAACAAAACTCCAATAACACCCCAAAAACCAGTTGCAAAACCACTCATTATGTCCAGAACAAACAACCATACCTCCGTTGGCTCCTCAGCTGCTTTGTATGTCTTCTTGCTAGTTGTTGTAGGATCTTTCTGATTTGAACAACCTTTTGGCAATGGAGGTCCACATAGATCTTTGTTCCCAGCATATATTGATGGATCAATAAGGGTCTGCAGTTGACTTCCTGTTGGAATTCGTCCAGACAAGTTGTTGTGAGACAAATTCAAATGACTCAAAAAAGTCAATGTTGCCATGCTTGTAGGGATCGTCCCTGTCAACCGGTTTCCAGATAAATCGAGAGAAAATAGTGACGTCATGTTTCCAATGGTGTCTGGAATTCCCCCACTGAGATGGTTGTTAGACAAATTGAGGCCCACCAACATAGAAAGACCAGTTAGCTCGACAGGAATTTCCCCTACAAGTTTATTGCTTGAAAGGTCCAAATTATAAACCATATCCAAAGTTGTTGTATATTCAAGATCAACACCTTTCATCACCTGAATTACATGATCATCAAAATCGTCATTGAGAATAGGCACACGATATCCACTACCATCAACCATTGCAGTCAAGTCTCCTAAACATCGAGGGATAGTCCCCGTTAAGCTGTTGGATGCAACATCCAAAATTCGAAGATGTGAAGCATTGCACAAAGATAGAGGGATTCTTCCTGTGAAGTTGTTTTTGTGTAACCTCAAAATTATCAACGTTCCAAGTTTTTCCCCAATCCATTCAGAAATATTTCCAGACAATTGATTATCACCCACATCTAAGTATTGCAAACCTCCCAAATTTCCCCATTCTCGAGGAATTTCACCGATTAATCTATTTCCATTCATATTCAACCGAAGTAATGATGAACAATTAGAAGGTACAGTGCTTGGAATTACACCTGACAGCCGATTTGAGCTAAATCTCATGGTAATCAAATTCTGAAGATTCTCAAGACATTTGAGAATTTTCCCGGTTATCCTGTTTCTGGAAAGATTAAGATATTCCAAATCTGTCCTTCTGCACAATGACAGTGGAATCGACCCATTGAAAAGGTTATCTTCCAGAAATAATGCCCTAGGATAATATTCTGAAACATAAACATTTCCCCCATCTGGAAGGTTTGTCAAAGATCCACTGAGTTTATTGTAAGAGAGGTCTAAGAAAGGAATGATGGGCATCATTCGCAACCATGTGGGCAAAGGTCCTGTAATTGTAGTATTGAACAACACTAACGTCTCAAGCTCCCTTTGATTTTGAAGCCACTGTGGAAATCCATTTATGATAGTGCAAGAACTGAGTAGAAGAGTAACCAATTGAAATGGAGGTAGCCACTCACTTGAAACATTAAATGTCAGCTTATAGTTTAAAGAGGTGTCCAAGTGCTTCAGCATCGAAAGGTTAGCAAAATGGGCTTCAGAAACGACACCTTCTAAAGAATTGTTAGACATATCTAGCCAATCGAGTTTGGCAAGTTTCCCAAATGATTCTGGAATACTCCCATTTAACAAATTTGAATACATTGAAAATGCTTGCAATGAAACAAGGTTTCCTATAGATGCTGGAATGGGCCCCGTTAACTGATTGGCTTCTAGATACATTTCTGTTAAACTGGCTAATTTCCCAAAGGATTCAGGAATCGAACCATTCAATTGATTAAAAGAAAGATCAAGTTTCAAAATTTTCCCAAGGAATGTCGGAATAGGACCTGTTAGCATGTTATAAGATAGATCCAATACTTCTAAATACGGTAATCTTCCTAGAGATTTTGGGATTGAACCTGTCAAACTGCTACCCGATAGAAGTAAGACTCTTAAATTGGTTAGTATTCCAAGTGCTTCTGGAATTGTTGGTTCTGCATCTATACCACTTATGCGATCACTTAAATCTAAAATCTCCAAAACATATTGGGAGCACTCTGATTTGTTTTTTGGTGAGTTCATTATTTCTATATCAAAAGCCATGTCTGACGCACTCAACTTTTTCAAGTGACACTGCCTCCAGATTCCAAGATGCTCAATTTTCTTAAACCAGTTATTAGAAAGATCAAGCTCCAGAAGATTGGGCATAATAGGAACCGATGAATTTAGGCTGTTTAAAGAAAGGTCAAGGACTCTTAAGGAACTCATGTTTGTTAAAACAGATGGAATTACACCTTCGATTGAATTTCGGCTAAGATCCAAGTGTCGGATGTTAGAAAGTGTACTGAAGTTAAGATGAGGGGAAGATAGATGCGTTTTATCGAGCCCACAACCTGACAAATGTAGCTCTGATAAAGAAGGGATCATGCTTAGCAGGTTTGGAAAGTTCCATGCTAAACTAAGATCAAAGTCTGTAAGATCCAGGAATGAAAGGGATGTCATGTTTTGGAAAAACCCAGGGAGTGGACCCTTGAAAAGATTTAAGCTAAGATCTAGGTGTTTGATGTTGGAAAGTATTGTAGTTGAGTTGATAAAAGGAACAAAATTAGCGTTGGAAAGTCCACAAGATGACAAATGTAACTCTTTTAATGAAGGAATCATGTAACGCCCCATGTCCACACCACTAACATCTAAATAACTCAAGTCGAGATGCTCGAGTGACGAAAAGCCAAAAGTCCATGACATATCATCTGCCATCAGCTCTCCATTTGAATTTAGATCAAGAACTTTTAAATGAGAAAGATTTCCAATGTGAGGAGGAATAATACCTTGGAAACCAATATGAGAGAGATTGAGGTAGTTCAATTGTTTGAAGGATCCAATGAACTCAGGGATCCGGCTTCCTCCAAAATCATTCCCACTTAAGTCCAAGTATTTGAGATGCCTCAACTCAGCCAAAGAAGAGTTTACCACATTACCAACTAACTGGTGGTTATTACGAACAAAGTGGTCATGTTTTTCCTCTACATCATGATAAGAATATCTTGTGTTTCCTCTAAGATGAAGCCTTTCAACATGTCCAGTGACACCATTACAATGAATTCTTTCCCACAAGCAACAGTCATTGCCAACCCATGATGACAACATTTTAGACTCATCTCCAACGCTCTCTTTGAACTTGAGAAGAGCAAGTCGCTCTTGCTCAGAGCAAACTACTACAGTGATGTTTCCAACACCCAAACAAGTGGATGTGGTTGTAATCAAAAAAATACTTATGAAAATGAGATGGAGCCCCAAACCCCTCCAATTCTGCATCGTCAACCCAAACCCGGTTTGATAATTTAGAGAAAAAAGTTAAGTGGAAAGATGGGTTCTTTATGATGAACTGATGCGTCTTTTATGATGAGGAAACTAGTTGATTTATAAGGCTAGAATTGAAGAGCAACTTATCAGCACACAAGACTTGGAAGTCAACCAACAATTTGTATCCATAGATTCGTATTCTTCTAGTCTTGGCCGATTATTTTTTTCTCAATTAAATTTCAGTTGAATATTGTTGATATATATATATATATATATATATATATATATATATATATATATATATATATATATATATATATATATATATATATATATATATATATATATATATATATATAATCTTGTACTGCTTTAACTTTTTTTTTTTTGTTAATGTTGAAAATGGGTCAGTCGGTTAGGTTAAATTTTAATTAAGTGGCAAGTATTAGTATTTTCAGTTATATAAAATTGCTGAAGAAAGTTGCTTTCTTGATGATCAGATACTCAAGTGAGTGCAGAAATGCAGAAAATAAATCCAAAGAGAAACTGCTGCTAGAAGTTGCTTTGGGGCCATACTGAACTGTTGAACAATGAGAAAAACTGTTGATTAGTTGTCATTTGTAATTTTGAAAAATGAACAATTTTTTTTATGGTTAGTAACTTAGTTTTTGTGACATAAAATTATTAACTTTTGTGGTTTGTAAATATTAATACGTTTAGATAGATAATTTGTAACAACTAGTGATTACATTTTTTGGTTTGTATTTATATAATGATAAACAAAACTATCAGAGCAGGGTACCCGGAACCGATTCCAAAATCCAAAGAACAGGTGTGCTGATGCTCTCCCCAAGTAATCAGAATGGATAACTAATTAATTACATTTATAAACTTATTAATATTGATATAATAATTAATAGTATTAGTGTTAAAAAATTTCCAAAATATTCATTAAATTATATTTGCTATTTTCAGAAATAACAATAAGTATATTGTCATTATAATTCTATTTTTGATTTAAATTAATATTTTAGTTTAGTAAATAATCCCAAACTCCTTCAATTCCAATTTAATTTAGAGAAAATGAAGTGGAAATATCGTTCTTATGACAAAGAGCATAAACGAATGCCATGGAAGACTTGGAAGTCTACGGACAGGGCCATATAAGTCAACCCACAATTTGTTTTCTGTACACAGATTACTATTCTTCTAGTCTTGGCCAATTACTTCAAGATCAAAAAGGATTTTTTTAAGGACAACCTTAATAAACGCAACCCTTTTGGACGACAAAGCAAATTGGTTTTTTTCTCAACCATAGTGACCTTGATGGTATAGAGGAAATGCCATCGGTTTCAAAGTCTACACATGACTTAGAAGTCAACAAAGCCAATATATTTAATTGGCCAAACTTTTCATATAAACAATGGACAAAAGTAGTGTCATGATGCACCATCTTTCTTTTGGAATTATCGACCATGGCATCTTCCAAAGAATTCATTTTTAATGCACTCAAATTCCTTGCACCTTCCTTTAATATTAACTAGGAATGTATCCCCCATTGTGGGGGTTAGTGATGTTCAAAAGGAAAACAATTTATTTATTTATGTATGGATGAGGGGTTCATTATGTACATCAAACCATCAAAATGCTTTATTCAAAGATAGGTGCTGCGGTCAATGTTTACTCATCATAGATATCTTTCAATTTATTCTATATGGCAAAGCCCTCTTGGAATTTTAGCTCCTTAATATGATATCCTCCTATATACAAATTAAATGTTCGGTCATCTGTTAGTAATGGTTTACTATTAGTTTTATATGGTTAATTGTTTAGGTTATTGGTTAATAATGATCCAAAATAACTTTAAAAAAGAAACTAGGTTGCTATAAAAATTGAAAAATCAAAGTACATTGTTATAATAAGTGAAAATCTTTGAAAATTTATGGAAAGAATCACAAATCGACCATTTTGGGGAATCGAGATGTAGAAAAAGCACAACAAAAATGACGAAAAGGACTTTTAGTTAACACCAGAATAGAAGCATAGTTTCTAGAAGCATATATAATTACAGTTTCTCTCTGTGCTACAATCGCAACCAAATAGGCAAATACAGTGTTATTTTCTTTTCCACTACACAACATAAAAAAGAAAAGAAAATAGCTTTTATAAGGGTAAAGAATTAACATAAATTAGATGTGATTTTAGTTAACGATTTTTTCACAATTTCATAACTAATAGTAAAATTTCATTTTACCTCAATATCTTCCTTATGATTTCATCTTACTGTGCTTTTGGTCCTTGTACCATCACGTATAAATTAGAAATGTTAATTTTTTAAAAACCAATAAAGTACCCGTGAGGTAGTCTTAATTTTACCATTTTTACTCCATATTCTGGATTCTCCATCATACGACCCTGTTGCAAATAGTGTTTTCCTACTCTACATAGAAACCACCAATTTGAGATATCAGTAAAATCAAAACCATGAGATGTAAAGTAAAAAGTAAAAAGTAAGAAATGACATTCAAATGAAGTTTAGCCAAGAAAGAAAAACAAGATTTCGCTGCAATCATAAACCATGTAAGAAATGGCCTTCAAAAATATTTATATTCAAATTTAATAAAAAGTGCCAACGATACAAATGAGTGAGTTCATGTTCTATAAAACCCTATAAATACCATGTCAAAATAATATTAGATGAAAACGTAAATCAACAATAAGATTGAATTAAGCAACAGTGAAAAGACTATGGACCCCATGTGTATGTACCTGAGACCAAATCATAACAACGAGTAAGAATGCTAATGTATGATATATGTCAGCTTCTGCATCAAAGCCAACTGATTCCAATTTCAAAATTAGCTTTTAGGATGTCTCACAATAGAATAAATGAGGAAAAAAAGATACAAAAATAAAAATTGGTTATATCGCAATTTACATTCCATTCCATGATAGGATGAAAAAAATGCCCTTCGAAGGATTGAGAATTAAAAAAATGGAAGAATAGCATTCCATTAGCAAAGGTCCATTACATTCCATTGGGCAAAGGCAAAAGAAACTAATATTTTTCATTCCAGTGGAATGAAAAATTCGATTCATTCTCCAATTCCATTGTACCAAACAGTACCTAAATTGTTCAAGCCAATAAAAGTAAACAAGGTGTTTGGACGTGGTTCTAAATACGTCAAATGCAATGCAAGATAGGGGCTTCCATTTTATCTCATTCTTGCAACCAAAAAGTCAATTCTGAAAATGGTCTTGAAAATTGGTTACACAAAAGGGTTATAACTAAAAATCTAAGTCAAAGTCAAACAATAACCATATATGAACATTTATAACAGGAACACCAACTTCTTACTCCAAATGCATAAGACCAATATTGATGCATGCTTTAATAACGATGACCCAACCCTTACCTTTTCTAAAGTTCCATGATTTGGTGGCAAGAAAAGCTTCATGAAAACAATCATAACTAGCTTAAATGAGTTGAAGAATCTTCATAATCGGCTTATTAATTGCTGCCATAATGGATCTTTAATATTTCAATAATGGGTCATTAATTAGTTTAATAATGAGACTTTAATAGTTATTTAATTGCTTTAGACTTTTGATATTTCCGAGAGTTATGTTATTAGCACTATATATTGTACTTGAAAATAAGTTATCCTTTGAAGAAAAATCAAAACTTTGTTCATCCCTTTCTTGAATTGTTGCTTATAATTCAGATTTGTATCATTGTTTGGGACGTGATCTCATTCGTGATTTTTGAATTCAATTCAATAGGTCTTGGATTGTTTTCACCGATTTTCAAGTTATAGGTCTAACTTGATCATCATACTACCCTTTGTTACTTGTTCATGTTATTCCCTTGCAAAACCGTTCCAAATATAACCAAAAACAGCCCCATTTGCATTATTTCTTCTCTATTTGTTATCATTTCGCTGCAATCAGAAGCACTCCAAAACAAAACCTCCCATACACGTATCATACCTAGTATCAGAGCCAGGTTCTGATTGGGTGTCGTTGAGGAAGTCAAATTCCTGGTTCATCATGTCTCCAACGAATGAGAATCTTGAATTTGTGGGACTAGAAGCATATCTTTCGAGTTTTTCTGAATCCGCCTCACTCTTTTGGGACGTGGTGGATAAGGATAACAATGGTCATTTTTGTGACACCAATTCCTTTTACGACATGGAACCTGTCTATGACACGGAAGATGAAGGCGAGTTCATTGAAGAAGTTTATGTTGAAAATAATATTTCTTTTTCAAAATTCTTAATTGAGGAAACTGGTCATGATAATATCTACGAAGAGTTTTCAGGTTTTTATATTCTTTACAACCATGATCTACTTTCAATGGCTACTCAAGAAATCAAAATCAAGGAAGCTAACAAGTCTACCAAAAACATATATGATCAAGACTATTTCCCCGTTTGGTACGTTTTTGTTCGTTTTAAACTTTGGAAATCGTTTGCCATTTGGAAATCGTGGGCAAGAGGAATTAGAGATGAAGACTTGAGAATAAAGACGAAGACTCGAGGACAAGTCTTTTTTAAGAGGGGGAGAATGATGCGTGCTTTAATAACGGTGACCCAACCCTTACCTTTTCTACAGTTCCATGATTTGGTGGCGAGAAAGGCTTCATGAAAATAATCATAACTAGCTTAAATGAGTAGAAGAATCTTCATAATTGGCTTATTAATTGCTGCCATAATGGATCTTTAATATTTCAATAATGGGTCATTAATTAGTTTAATAATGAGACTTTAATAGTTATTTAATTGCTTTAGACTTTTGATATTTCCGAGAGTTATGTTATTAGCACTATATATTGTACTTGAAAATAAGTTATCCTTTGAAGAAAAATCAGAACTTTGTTCATCCCTTTCTTGAATTGTTGCTTATAATTCAGATTTGTATCATTGTTTGGGACGTGATCTCATTCGTGATTTTTGAATTCAATTCAATAGGTCTTGGATTGTTTTCACCGATTTTCAAGTTATAGGTCTAAC